AAATGTATTCTTTTTCGATATCCCCTTCTAAACGAAGACACTTTAACTTTATAGTTGGATGTCCCAATTTCTTTTAAACCTTTAGTATTTAATGTATGCCTTTAGTAGTTACTGGGAGTAAAAAATATAACCGGAATTAGTTTCCACGGAGGACATTGGAAATGTCGGATTTCCCAATTAAGATCATTCAAATAAAAATGTTATCCTTAAACAAAAACGAATAAATGACGTAATAATTTTTTCCAGCTCTGATAATCAAATGTGCTTCCTGTTTGAAGTGAGCAACCAATTTATAATGATTGAGATCGCGCAAAAGATGCAATACCAAAAGGAAAAAAGTTATGGCAAGATTAAAAAAAGAACAAAAATATGCACTTGTCATAAATTAAAAAAATGTCTTAAACGATAACCATATAAAAATATTACGAAAGTTATGTGCCACATAAATAAGCTCAGAACAGAAATTCCAGTCCTGTAAAAAAAGTCAAGCTGGTTCGTTTTTGTCAACCAAAGAATTAAAATTAGGCAAGAAATATCGCATCAGAAATAATAAATTATTTGTAATACAATTTTTTTTTATCATGCACTGTAGGCTTGTTTAGGACAGTACATAAAACCTGAAGATTAAAGCAAAAGATTATTAGTATAGTGCCAAAAATGAGCGGAGCAGTTGAAAACCCGATGGATGAGCATTTCTCATATTACTGACTGACTGCCGATAACTGAGAACTCAAGCAGCGCTATACAAATACAAATTTCTGCTCTCGTCTTCCCTTTTGTTCGGAGATAAGCCGCGATCTCAAAGCCATCCAGCAGCTTCAGCAGCCGGAGACAGCGAGAAAGGGAGGGCGAGCGGTCCCGGTCCGGCGGTACCAGTGAGTCAGCACTGGAGTGCGACAGAGAGGGCGACAATCGATCAATTCGCTTTAATTGCCATTAGCATGCCGAATTGTAGTGGCTTACGGTGGGGCGGAAAAGGGAGGCAGCCGAATCGAATGGCGGCTGTGGGTCACAATCATTTCTTACGGGTTTTATGACGGTCAAAGCTGAGAGCTTTTTTCGCTCTATTCTTAGTTTTATTTTATTTTTTGGCAATATATTTACTCGTAAAATCTTAATTACGCAGTCTTGTTCGGAGAAAAAAACATTCTGGTGGGATGACAAACGAATTCAGATGGCAGGGCACACGCCTTTAGCACAGTGGGTCATACATTCTGGCGTCTGACTATTAGAAATCTGGTTTTAAAACAATTGCTATTATATAAAATATTTTTGTTATTTTGATGAATGACATAAATTTATATCCTACTAATTGTAGTATGTGCTTTTAGTATTAGTATATATTGACATTTATGGGCTTAACTGAAATATTTGGAGTATTGTATACTCATCACGAAACAGTAATAAATAAATGTACATATATATTGTACTTCTTTGAACTGAAGCAAAACTTGATCCTTGGCACCTTTATGGCTTTAACTAATTGAGTGTGCCCCTTTGTATGTTTGAACGTAATATGATATTACAAATGAAATATTAAACATGGATTAAGTGAGGTTTATGGAAGGAAACACTCCTTTTGGCTAAAGTGTTTTTCTTTTAGATCCCACACACCCATTCCACTGTACCCTGCTTGGGGAGTTGTGCAAGCCGAAGCAGAGAACAGAATCAGGCAAAAAGGGGGAGAGGCGCAGATACGAACTCAGAGATACACACGCACACCACCAGACACTCGCGGTCGCACATGTGTGAGTGGCTGACAAAAATTCAAGCGAACAAGTCGCCGCACACCCGATGAGGTCATCAATCACATGCAACAAATGCGAGGGCGACACAAAAAGCGGCAGGGGCAGGAAGCCAATCCTTAAGCCTCTATATACCAACTACTACATTCGCTTAGCGAACTGAATTTCTTAGATTGCTTTTTGAATATAAACAAACATTTCTTCTAGCGAATTTTAAAAATTTCAATGATTCCATAGAAAGAAATGATTTGAAAGGTAAACATTTAATGGCAGATGCAAGTGAATAATTTTTGAATTAATGGGTCACAGCAATTTGTAAAGTAATATTCTTAAAAAGCTTTTTATACCCTTGCAGAGGGTATTATAATTTTGGTCAAAAGTGTGCAACGCAGTGAAGGAGACATCTCCGACCCTATAAAGTATATATATTCTTGATCAGGATCACCTCCTGAGTTGATATAGCCATGTCCGTCTGTCCGTCTGTCCGTCTGTCTGTTTCTACGCAAACTAGTCTCTCAGTTTTAAAGCTATCGGATTGAAACTTTGCACACACCCTTCTTTCCTTTGCACGCAGTATATAAGTCGGAACGGCCGGGATCGGCCGACTATATCCTATAGCTGCCATATAACTGATTGATCGGAAATGCCATAACTTTCGTGTTTGTAAAGTTAGGAAGTTGGGATTTTCTATGGGTTTTATATTTGGCCAATCAATCCAACCTACCAAATTTCATAAGGATCGGCCGACTATATCCTATAGCTGCCATATAACTGATTGATCGGAAATGCCATAACTTTGGTGTTTGTAAAGTTAGAAAGTTGGGATTTTCTATGGGTTTTATATTTGGCCAATCAATCCGACCCACCAAATTTCATAAGGATCGGAAGACTATATCCTATAGCTGCCATATAACTGAATGATCGGAAATGCCATAACTTTGGTGTTTGTTAAGTTAGGAAGTTGGGATTTTCTATGGATTTTATTTTTGGCCAATCAATCCGACCTACCAAATTTCATAAGGATCGGCCGACTATATCCTATAGCTGCCATATAACTGATTGATCGGAAATGCCATAACTTTGGTGTTTGTAAAGTTAGGAAGTTGGGATTTTCTATGGATTTTATTTTTGGCCAATCAATCCGACCTACCAAATTTCATAAGGATCGGCCGACTATATCCTATAGCTGCCATATAACTGATTGATCGGAAATGCCATAACTTTGGTGTTTGTAAAGTTAGGAAGTTTGGATTTTCTATGGATTTTATTTTTGGCCAATCAATCCGACCTACCAAATTTCATAAGGATCGGCCGACTATATCCAATAGCCGCCATATAACTGATTGATCTGAAATGCCATAACTTTGGTGTTTGTTAAGTTAGAAAGTTGGGATTTTCTATGGGTTTTATATTTGGCCAATAAATCCGACCTACCAAATTTCATAAGGATCGGCCGACTATATCCTATAGCTGCCATATAACTGAACGATTCGAAATGCCATAACTTTGGTGTTTTTAAAGTTAGGAAGCTTGGATTTTTTATGAGTATTAAGAATGCATCATAGGAATAATTTTGGAGAATATAATTATAGAGTATTCTGCAAGGGTATATCAACTTCGGCTCCGCCCGAAGTTAGCTTTCCTTTCTTGTTTGTACCTCAATTTGTTTGAAATTAATACTACTAATTACCCCTGATCAATCACACTAAATTATTTTGCTCAAAAAATGGATACTCCTTTTTTTAATAATTTACCGGCAGAAAGTAGTCAGTGCTTTTGAAAAATTTATTACCAGGACGCACCACGGAACTGTAAAATTAATACTTTTAATATCTTCGTTCTTTTGCAAATTATATTAAGTAGTAATCCGATTTCATAAAACTTTAATAGCTAAAAATGAATTTACTTTTGAAAACTTTGCCAAAGATCTTCTTATTTTTAAGTAAAGAATCTATATTTGGTATAAATAAAACGTTCTTATACTATGAAGAAAGATACAGAAATGAACCTTGGCATCTGGTTTGATGGAGTTGGACAGTATTTAATTGAGCTTAAAGAATTGATATTTAAATTTTTAGAAAGATTAGAACACCACTTACCAGAACTTTGGCAAATCGCCGGTCCAGCTCGTCCGTGGTGGGCATGGGCTGCTGGCTCCGGCTCCGCAAGCTCGGCTGTCGGACGTGCTGGTACTGGGAGCTGCAGCCGATGTCGTAGCGCAGATCCTGCTTCTGCAGCGTGCCGCTGGAGACGGAACCATTGTGCTGGTGGCCATTGCGCATCGATGGGTGGTGCGGATGCGAATGCGGATGGGGATGCTGCAGCTGCTCGTCGGCGTCTACATCGGCGCTGGTGATGGATCTCGACTTGACAGCGCCCATTATGGTGGCAAAGCGACCTGAGCTGGAACCGGAGACGGAGCCGCCTCCTCCTCCTCCACCGCCTCCGCCTCCCCCTGGATCCTGTAATCCCCTGGAACCGGATCCTCCGCCGCCGGCGTCCTCGATGCTGGCCGCTTGGAGCGCTGTGCTAAGGGACAGCGAGAGGGAACCCCATACAGTCCGGCAAAGGGCACGGGTGCGTTCCGGGCAACTTGAAAGTTGCTCTTTGATTCCGTTGAAGATATCCAAAGCGGCTGCTGCCTGTTCGCTGCTCTCGAACGTTCACAATTGGCCAATCGAAAATTACTTTTGTTTGGTTTTGTTTTTTTTTTTTAGGTTTGAAAAGAGAGTAAAACTGCTGTGTTCAAATTTTGATAATTTAATTTACTTCTTTCTGACAATGTAAGCAAAAACACAATTTGTTGTCGGTGGTGCAACGGCGGCACTCACACTTTCACATATACACGAACACAGTCACACACGGATGCAGGCACAAACACAGACAAAGACAAAGATTTTGATGAAATCCTGCGGCAGGCGACGCCTCTTTTAGCTTTGTTCGCAGGTTTTTCCGATCGGGGGCGTGTAATTTGCTTACATATCGCTTCGCTGGCTCATTATAGTCGAACTGGGACCGAGGACTGTGAGAACCGAGAGCAACTGCAGTTAAATGCACTTTATTTTGCCGACCGACCGCACGACGACCGCGCTTCACAAATAATCCGGACAGTGTGACCGTGGTTTGTCAGTGAAAGGAAACCAACGGCTCGGAAAAATACATTCTGAACATACTAGTAAAAATACTCAAACCGAAGACTCAAACCATGAAGGGAAACTTTGTTAGCCGTGGCAATTTTTGTGGTGTATTGCATGTAACCCTTAACAGGCACACTAGAAATTAAATGTTTTGCTAGTTTGCTAGTTTTGTTAATATCATGCAATCGGCGGCTTGAAAAGAGCGTGAAACACCTTAAGATGAGCACTCCCCGCAAGAACTATAACAACTTTTCACCTTACTCGCCGCGAGCTGGTCAGTATCCTTCGCAGTCGGCAGACTACAGGTCGCAGCAATTCGGTGGACAACAGGCGCCTCCAAACTCAAACTTTGGCTTCTACGAGGACAAGTCCCAGTCAAATACTCCGCACTTCTACCAAAACAAGTCTCCCCAGGAGACGCAAAGACATCGGCCCTACGGACAGCGTGGAAATTTCGGTCGCGGAGGCAACTTTAATCGCAGGAACCAACCGAACTGGGACCATAATCCGAGGAACCAACAAAACAGAGAGGATAACCAAGGCAGGACCTCCTTCGGACAGTACTTTCACCCCTCTATGCTGGAGGATCCCTGGCGGGATTTGATGGATCGCCACGAGGCCATCCACGGACCCAGCACTGACCAAACCACACCTAAAGAAGTAAAGGCCTCTTAAGTTGTAAGAACTACTAGTTTAAATATAAAAATGTATAATTCTAGACAAAGGGCTAGTACAGCGATTGGGTTGGGTAAATCCTTATAGGATCTATATATAAAAATAGCTCATTTATTAAGAGTGTACTTATTTAAAGACTACTCAATAAATAAGTAGTGCATACAAATTGAGTGATGCATAAATCTCTGAACAAAAACCTGAAGGGTTTCAACAGAATAATGAGTTTCAGGGAGAACAAGTTATATTGAGTCGTTGTTGAACGTAAGGCATACTATTAAAAGGTCCATCCCCTCAAAAAAAAACACCGCTTAAGTTGTAACGTTTTATAGAATTAAGCAACAGTTTCTGGTTAATGAAACTCGTGTATATGATTATAAACTTAAGGCTACCGCATTCCCCGATCTCTCAGCTAAAAGTGCTGCTGTTGGTGTCGCTTCTTCTCTAGATATTTCTCCCAGTCACCGGCAATGCGATTGTAGATGCCCATGGCAGCGCGAGCATCCTCCACGGAGTTGTGCTCGCCCGTCTGGATCTCCTGGCCCAGCACGGCCATGGTTAGGCGCTTCAGGCTGGGTGTGTGGCCATTTGAGACTAGTTTACAGAGCGGTTTGTAGCGCGACGTGTCGCGGATGTTCTCGAACGGATGGCGGATGCTTAGGACGGCGAGGTCGTTGCCTAGGGCGTGTCCGACCAGAATGCGGCCGTGAAGCAGCTTTACGACCTCGTCCTGCACGGCGACAAAGTCCTCGCCATTGGCAATGTCCTGCGGGCGAATGCCAGATACGCTTGTCCTGTAGTCGGTGACCTCCTTTCGTGGTTTCACATGTTTGTCCAGCAGCACATGACCCACGCGGTTCACGATTGATACGCGGGCCAGCATGTCGTCCTGTCCGTTGTGTCCCACGCCCACCATCTCGCAGTCCATTGCCAAAAACCGATTGCGTTGAGCCTGCTTCTTGATGCGCGTGCGTGCAGATTTGGTGAGTGGTTGAGATTCCTTGGAGTCGGTCGCCTCCTGGTTCTCGCTTCCAGGAGCAGATCCTGGTGGCGCTCCTCCGGCAGCGGCCATCCAGTTGGAGCCTGCTGACCGGCGACTTGTGTTCGGCTGTTGCACCTGTAATCGCTCCATTGAAGTTTGCAGCTTGCGCTGATGCGGGGAAACCACATTTTTCGTGCTGCCACCGCTGTTGTTGCTGTTGCTGGAGGAGCTGCTGCTGGCCAGGTTATTTACACGGCTGCGGTTCATGTCGAACTGCTTCTGACGTTGGCTAGCGGACATGGCGCCTGGGCATCAATATATTCCAGTTAAATCCTGCTTTTGTAAATATCGAGCAAGTAATGCGTTATTTTGTTCGAACACCATCTGCCAATGTGACCGATTGTGTTTTGGGGATTTTTCTTTTAGTATTTAAATGATATTAATACGAATGTGGCCGCGTTCAGTATAATAAATTTATCGGAATTGTTCAAAAGTAAGTTGTTTACTGAACTCTACCAAATAAACTGAAATATATCAAAATGAGTATACTTAAGAAAAAAAACCCCCTGTACTTGAATTTTTTATTGAAGGTACCATTTCATGAAGTAGTAATGACGAATATTTTGGTTAATGAATTTAAGCGCGCACAGAGGATTGTATTCGAAACGTGATCAGCTGTATGGAAATACTTGTGGTATTTCGCTATACTAAATACTAAAATTCTGGGAACATAAGGCGTGGATTCGAAAGATTCTCTGATTGCGTTTAAACTTTAATCTGCGCATTTAATTGGAAGTTTTAAAAGCGATTTAAGATACAAGACAATCATGTCAGTATGTTTAAATTTCGTAAACGGGAACTGCAAATACGGAGAAAGTTGCTACAAAGAGCACGTAGACCTCAAGTAAACGCTCTTAAGGACAATCAAAATTCGCAACTATCTTATCTTTGATTATTTTCTAGGAGAGTCCTAAAAGAGGACATAGAATCGAGTATCAACGGACGCGTGTGGCCCTTCTCGGCTTACGGCCCCTTTTATTTGAAGGGTAATTTTCCCAACTTTATAGAGGATGACTCATTCGAGGAAGTCCGGTTGCGGTACTATAAGGCTAAACGAATGAATCTTGTCGAGGTATATTACCGCCAGTTTTGCCGCGATTGGATGGTGGCCAAAAACAAGCTCCACAGCTTGCTGCAAATGTCGAGTCAAACAGTTTCCACCATGATCGACCTTTACCAACAGCCAAGTAAATACGGTAATCCCTGTTGTGCGCGCAATTCCATGAGCGGTTCAATAAGGGCTCCAGCCTTTAAGGAAAGCAACCAGGCCCAACCGGAGAAAAACCATCCTTTATGTAGTTGTGGACAGAAGCAAAACCTGCAAACAACAGGAATATGTTTTGGTCAGGATACTGGCCAAACCAAGAACAATTGGAATGATTCTGTAGGGAATACACTTACTCCTCAGCCCTTTGGAAATAGTAATGTGGGTTTCAATGATCAAGGGAAATTCTTTTTCAACGAGAAACCTAATCCTTTTGGTAACTCTTTGGTGCAGTTATCTGAGGAGGAATCACCGACCAAGGCCGAGGAGAAGAAGTGGGGAAAGCACCCTCCTGCACCGCAGAAGATCATGGAGTATCTGGACAAACACGTGGTGGGCCAGCACTTATCCAAGAAGGTGCTAGCGGTAGCAGTATATAACCACTACAAGCGCATCCACAACAACTTGCCGCAGCAAAAGCCGCAATACTCATCTGACAACGTCGACCAGGACGTAACTCCTCGGCTCGATCAGCTGCAGATCTCTGGGAACTGTTTTGCGCTAACAAGTTCGCCAGAGAAAGAAATACCGACCGATGTCGGACTCGGCAAAGAAACCACCATCTCCGAATCCAACTCGGAGTTGGATCGGGAGTCCGAAGACGTCAATCTGGAGAAGAGCAACATCATCATGCTGGGTCCAACGGGATCTGGTAAAACACTTATCGCCAAGACCATCGCCAAGTGCTTAGACGTCCCCTTTGCCATTTGTGACTGCACCACTCTAACGCCGGCTGGTTACGTCGGCGAAGACATCGAGAGCGCACTATTGACGTTGCTGCGGGCTGCCGGCAACAACGTGGAGCGCGCACAGACGGGCATTGTTTACCTGGATGAGGTGGACAAAATCTGTGCCTTGCCTCAAAGCAAACAACGCTGTGACATTGGCGGCAGGGGCGTCCAGCAGGGCATGCTCAAGATGCTGGAGGGCAGCTTAGTAAACCTCAGCGGTCGTAAACTACTGTATGGCAACAAGGTTCAACTGGATACTACGAACATCCTGTTCGTGGCTTCGGGCGCCTTTACGGGCCTTAACAAGATCATTGCCCATCGCCTCAACGAAAAGGGTTCCGACCTGGCCTCGACCAGCGAATCCGGATCCCCGCTTATGGACCAAGATGATCGGGATAGGTACCTGACCAAAGTACAGACATGTGACCTCGTTGAGTTCGGAATGATCCCGGAGTTCATTGGCCGTTTCCCAGTTGTAGTGCCTTTCCACAGTTTTGATGTCAGCATGCTAGTACGCATCCTGACTGAACCGCGCAGCGCACTGATAACGCAATACAAGGCACTGCTGGATATGGATGATGTGAACCTGACGTTTACCGAGGAGGCCGTAGAGGCAATAGCCCAACTGGCGATGGAGAGGGACACGGGAGCACGGGGACTACGCTCCATTATGGAGCAACTGCTGTTGGATCCAATGTTCTTAGTGCCCGGGTCAGACATTCGGAGGGTTCACATAACCGCCGACTGTGTGAAGGGGAAATCCGCACCCGAATACAGCCGAGATACGAACTCCTCGGATTCAGGAATGAATTTAATAAATTTATAACTTTAATGGAAGATTTATTTTCAATTGCTTTTATAGACAAATGTGACAAAGGAGTATCAATTGATTTGTATAAATTTAATTGAAAAGATAAAAATAAAGTAGGTGGCTATTTTTTTGAGTGCAGTAAATGATTCGAAATAACAGGACGATATCGTTGGATTTCGTATTTTCGAAACATCACCGAACGGTCGCACTAAAATCCTATTCACTATTTGTTTATTTTACTGTTGGAATTTTCAAAATGCATGCATAATGCAGAGTGCACATCCCAGAAAGTTCAGACCACTCCGTCAGAGGTTGTCCAGCAGCCCCCATAACTGTGCCAGTGCATTGCCAACAGCTTATGAGTCGCATTCCGGCCGTGTGCCCATTCCGACTGACAATTGATTTGTTCGGTGACAAGCGGCGGTGGAGAAAAGTGCCGATAAAGCAGAACTGGAGGAGCAACCATGAGCGTCAGAGAAACCCAGATGCAGTCCTTTCACACGCGTTGTGGCCGCTCCATCCGGCTGTACAATAACAACCGGATGGCTCAGCGCTGCATGAGGGATTTCAGTCATGCGCTGGTGTTCAGTGCAGAACCCCTCGAGGACGACGTTCTCTTCGAAGTGGTCATTGAGAAGAAGGTGAGTGGCAAATTCCTCTACAGAGAGTAACCAATAAAACACACTTTCTGCAGAACACCTCCTGGGGCGGCAGCATCGAGATTGGAGTCACAGCCGAGTCGCCGGACGACCTGGAACTGGTTGCCTGTGCCACTGCCATGCGAAACGGCACATGGGTCATGTCCGGCATCGATGTGCGCAAGGATGGGCGGCGCCTGTTCGAGTTCTATGGCACCGACCTTGAAACGCTCAACGAGAACGATCGGGTGGGCGTCATGCGCACCTCCGGCAACGATCTAATATTTTATGTGAACGGGGAGTCGCAGGGAGTGGCCGCCAAGAACATGCCAAAGCCACTGTGGGCCCTCGTCGATCTTTACGGGCGTTGTGTGCAGGTGTCACTTTGTCCCCGTGATGGGAGCGGTTCCGCAGAGGTAGCTACATTTATATCTAATGGAAACATCTATACTTATAATGTTTATATTCCCTTATGTACAGCTTTTGGATTCACCATTGCAGCAGCCTCTGCAACAGGTTGTTCAGAACCTGGACGTCGCCATGAACGTGAACATAGTAGTGGATTCCGACGCGTGGATGCAAGGCACTGGCACCGTCTCCGGTCCTGACGACCGATTGTGCTTTCACACCCGCTGTGGATCGCTGGTCAAGCTTTCGCCCAACTTTCGTTCCGCCGAACGTCGACGTCCGCTGGACGAGTTCAACAACGGCGTGGTAATGACTCACAGGCCACTGAGGGACAACGAACTGTTCGAGATTCGCATCGACAAGCTGGTGGACAAGTGGTCGGGATCCATTGAAGTTGGCGTCACTACGCACAATCCCACGGTGTTACATTTTCCGGCCACTATGACCAACATGCGATCGGGTACCATAATGATGTCGGGCTGTGGCATCTTGACCAACGGCAAAGGAACACGCCGCCAATACGGGGAGTTCAATCTGGATGAACTGCGCGAGGGAGATCGCGTAGGAATGATGCGCAAGGCTAACGGCAACCTTCACAACTACATTAACGGGCAGGACCAGGGAGTGGCCGCCACCCGAGTGGCAGCTACATTGTGGGGCGTCATTGATCTCTACGGGATGACTATAAAGGTTACAATCGTGGACCGCGATGAGCGTGAGCAACAGAATCTTGTCACCCGACGGAACAATATAGTGGCGGGTATGAATGCTTGCTCTAGTGGAGCTGGAGTTCTGCATCCGCAGCACCAGCAGCATTCCGGCACCCCCACGCTAAGTCTTCTAAGTCCGGAGAGTGAGTTAAATGTGGCTGGGGCTGCAGGCGGTCTGAGCGAGACCATTTCCAGTACGCGAGCCATAGCCAGGAACGACGATCGTCTAACCTTCCACCACATCTGCGGCACTCACGCCACCGTCACCCAAAGCGGGAGAACAGCTCTTCGACCCAAGTGAGTCATTGCAATGAGTTCATTCATGGCTATGAGTTCCTAGTTTATTTAATCCTCTTCAGTTAAATGTCTTTTTTTTTAAGATTTCAATATATATTTAAACAATTTTTTAATTATTACTGCAGTGCTGCTGATGATTTTAACAACGGTGTGGTGCTTACACGACGGCCCCTCCGTCCCAACGAACTGTTCCAGGTGCGACTTGAACGCGTGGTGACCAAATGGGCGTCTTTAAAACTATTAAATAGAAAATCAGTTAGCCAAACACCACCAAAAAGGATCGAGGACTATATCCTATAGCCGCCATAAACTGATTAATCGGAAATGCCGTAACTTTGGTGTTTGTTAAGCTCTGAATTGAATTTCTATGGGTTTTATTGTTGACCACACACAGCGCCGACGAGCTGGATTTTCCCTTCACCATGACCAATGTTCGGTGAGTCTTGCTTATTTTTCAATTTAAAGTTGTAATTATATTAAATAATAATTTTCCTCCACCAGTTCCGGCACTTGGATGATGACGGGCAACGGGGTTATGCAGAACGGGGTCACTGTAATCGAGCAATACGGCCAAAATCTAGATCGACTGCAGGTGGGTGATAGAGTGGGCGTGGTGCGCAAGGACGATGGCACGGTACACTTTTGGGTTAATGGAGTGGATCAGGGTCCGGCTGCCAGCAATGTGCCGGAGCGAGTCTACGGCGTAATCGATTTGTACGGACAAGCGGCGCAGGCTAGTATCGTGGACACTTCGGAGTGCGGAAGCCCGGACACCGGAAATTCCACCATCTCGAACACGACACTGTACAGTGAGGTTCCCCTGCGGTTTCACAGCATCCACGGCGCCAATGCAGGCATCTCGAATAGTGGTTTGACTGCGTCGCGACCCAATTCCTTGGCAGAGTTTAATGACGCCATTGTGTTCAGTAATCGACCGTTGAGACAGCGGGAACTGTTCGAAGTGGAGCTGGAGACAATGGTGCGACACTGGTCGGGCAATATCGAGATCGGTGTGACGGGCACACGACCGGAGGATATCCAACTGGCGCCAAATGCCACCGACCTAGAGGCCAGCGACACAATTATCTTATGCGGCCCCATGATTTTTCACAACCGCAAAACCATACGCACCAATATTCTTCTAGATCTGGATACTTTGGGGCCTAGTACCCGTGTTGGTGTTATGCGCAATGGCGACTTTATCCATTTCTTTGTCGATGGAATGGATCAAGGACCGGCCTGCGAGTGCCACGCGCCCAACATTTGGGCAATCATTGATCTGTACGGGCAGTGCGCACAGGTGAGTCTTACGCAGACACAGCTTGACATCCGTGCTCCGTACGCGACCAGCGAGAATTCGCAGAGCTGCCAAGCCACCTCGGTGATTCAGCACCCGGCCATGGAGACGAAACACCGCTGGACTTGCGTATCGGGCAATGTAAGCCTAACCAAAGATTGGACGGAGGCCTCCCGCTTTACGGGAGCGGCGGCACCGCTCTCTCATTGCCTGGTCTTTTCCGAGCATCCCCTCAGCGTGGGTTCACCCTTTGAGATCAAGCTGACATCAATTAATCCCATGTTTGCAGGTGAGTTGCTGATCCTTAAACAATTCCTTTTCAAGATAAAGTACCTAATGGATTTAAATTATAATCTTCCTTAGGCTGCCTCAGTATTGGGGTCACGGATCTAAATCTGAGCGACGAGAGCGTGCGCAAGAAGCTGCCTACCAGCCTGCGGAGGATTCCGGCCAACGTCTGGTACGTGAACGGGAACGAGGTGTGCTTTAACTCGGGCTGCCTTCAGCGCTCGCTAGCCTCGCTCGAGTGGCTAAGGGTGGATGATAGGATCACCCTGGAGCGTGTAGAGAACTCGCTTAACATACTGCTGAACTCGGAAAACGTGAACATCCAGTTCCACAACGTACCCAACGATGTGTACGTCGTGGCGGAACTGAGAGGTTCCACGATGGGTATTCAGGTGATTTCCGCCCAAGGACCAGCCTCGCCTCTACGCCCATGCAGTTTGCGGCTACAGGACTCCATGGACTTTGGCGTGGATCCACTGAACAAGCAGGATAGTTCCATGTTGGAATCCATTGATTCTGAGGCACAAAACTACGAATTTTTGGATGTTTCACAGAAAAACGCACGGCTCAGCGAGGATCGCAGGAGCGTGACCAGGATTAAATCGTATAACCAGGCCATCGTGTGCTTGAATAAACCGCTGTGCAAGGGAGAGAGCATCAGCATCAAGGTGGACGCCCTGAACAACAAGTGGAAGGGCACTCTTGGACTGGGCGTTCTGTCTGCAAGTCCGCAAACTGCTCCCATTTCCCTGCTGGACTTTAAGCGAAGTTGCTGGTTGGCCACCCACGACTACGTGAACATCAACGGCCAGGTGATGGCCTCCAAATACGGCGACGCCCTCGAGCAGATCCAACTGGGGACGGTCATTACATTAACCTTAACCCATGCTGGAATGTTGAGTATGTCAAAACGTGTGTTTGCTTTAAAAAAAACTAATTTATGCCATTGTTTAGTAATCATGGTTGGTTCAACTAATCTAGAGGATCTGGCCAGCGGTCTGCCCAATCATGTATATCCAGTGTTCGACGTGTACGGCAAGTGCGAGAAAATAACCTTGATTACGGGCAACGATGCTGGCCGCACTGGGAACGCAAATGGCACTCCAATCCTTGAGGCGCCCGAGGCCCTGGAGTTGGATAATGGCATGCCACAGCAGTGTGAAAAGGCGCACCTGGAGATGCACGAGAAGGAGAAGGACACGGAGCAGGTGTGTGAGTCAAGCAGGGATGGTCCGTCCACCTCCGGTGCTCCATCAAATGCCATGTAAGTGATCTCAACCAATTGGTCTGTTTAATATTTTACAAGGCTTTTTTCGCAGGACTCGTTCGGTTATGGAGAGCGTTTCGGAGAACTTGTTGCTTAATATTTCTATTAAAAATCGAACTCTGGAGCAGCAGAGAAACGAGCTAGGCGGATCCTCGTCGACTTGGTAAGCTTTTCTAGTCAATAAGTGCTCACGAATTCAATTTTCGTTCAATTTTTTAATCCATTTAAGTTGA